TTTTTTTTTTTTTTTTTTTTTTTTTTGGAAAATCAATTTGTTTTATTTTGGAATTATTCTTTTTCGGTGTATTTTCATTTTTTAAATATGGGTTTCCTTTTTTCAGTTCTACATTCATTTTCATTTTAAAATATCCTTCAATAAATTTTTGAAGTATATTCATATTTTGTATTTTTATTTTTTTTGGGTACGAAAACTATGTTCTTATTGAACTAATTTTAAGATTTATATTAAGTATATATAAAGGTGCAAATATTTAACATAAAATAAAACTCCAAAAATAGGAATCAAAATCACATTTTATCCAATTCGGTTTATCCGATTCGGAAGAACTCGTGGAAGAACTAAACAAACAATCTGATGAGGGTATGAAAACATCTCCCTAAGAAACGCGTTTTAAAACTGGAGTGTGAAAACATCTCCCTAAGAAACGCGTTTTAAAACTGGAGTGTGAAAACATCTCCCTAAGAAACGCGTTTTAAAACTGGAGTGTGAAAACATCTCCCTAAGAAACGCACATCTCCCTAAGAATGTGAAAACATCTCCCTAAGAAACACGTTTTAAAATTGGGGTGTGAAAACATCTCCCTAAGAAATGCGTTTTAAAATTGGGGTGTGAAAACATCTCCCTAAGAAATGCGTTTTAAAATTGGGATGTGCGTTTTAAAACTGGGGTGTGAAAACATCTCCTTATAGAATGCGTTTTAAAACGGGGGTGTGAAAACATCTCCTTATAGAATGCGTTTTAAAACGGGGGTGTGAAAACATCTTCTTAGGAAAATCGAGAGGCTGTCGTAATAAGTAATGGGCCAAAGTAGACAATACCTACTAGCAGTGGTTTAGGCTGTTACAAATAGTATCAGAGCTGAACATCGGACAGTGTACCAGCAACAAGTACGCTGGCCCCAAGGGGGTGGATTGTCAGATCTCATCGGTTGGAGAGAGAAACAAACATTCCTTATAACGATATGAAAACCTCTATTTAAAATCATGAGGCTGACGACAATACTTTAGGGTATCTACCTATGGAGGTACTAAAATCCACTAATAAATTTTGAAAATAAGTTTGTGGTTCACAAACCCTAATTCCATAATAAATTTTGAAAATAAGTTGTGGTTCCCAAACCCTAATTACAACAATGACTTCTGATTTCAGTGTATAATAATTGGAACGCAAAGTTCATGATTATATAGAAACAAAAGAGCTAATGAAGAACAGTTTTGAAATTCTTAATTAGAGAGAGAGAAAAAAAGAGAGGATATGTTGTGGAAAGTAGAAACGAAAACCCTAGATTAGATAGAAGCCATTGGCGATCGGCTTGGTGAATCGCACGGCTCGAAAAGAGTAGAACACAGATAACTGAGCTCTGCTTTCCACAAAGAAATCACAGTAAGGAAAACGACATTCCATCTTTAAATCTGTACTCTCTATGGATCTACGATTACGCTTCAATTTTTTCCGCAGAAACAACAAAATTAATGCGATTTCAAAGCCACGTTTATAAATTTGCACTGCCAGAGAGAGAGAGAGAGAGAGAGATTCAAGAAATCGGAGACGAAATCAAGAATAATCTTACAGAGAGAATCAGAAGATGTGTTAGGGCTTCTCAGAGCTTTATGATAATTATGGCTATGGCTTCAATCTGTGGTCGTCGAGATTCAGCCTTTCTGCTCCAGCCAACAACCAGCAGCCAGTTTAGGCACAAACGCTGCCGCCTGCATCATCCGATGCTCACGGCCGACTGACAACGCTGCTCCACCGCCTAGGGCAAATACCATGGAGATGCCATTAACTATTCATTATGTATTTTTAGATATTTATTTTGTATTTTATAAGAATAATAATAAATAATACTTTTATTTATATTCATAAAATAAATCTAAAAACATTAAAAAAAAAAAAAAAGGAGAATTCTTTTTTTAATTTTATTGTTTCTTATTTCTAGTTTATTTTTAAAAAGAAATTGTTTATTAATTTTATTATTTTCTAAGCCCTACAAGTATGAACATATTTAATAACTATTTTTTAAAATTAGATGTCTACACGATTTGTTAGAATCGATACCCGTTGTTAGCTCTGATACCAATTGTTAGGATAGCTCAACAACGCACACATCCGATGAACACAAATAACAAGAGAGAGAAAATACAATGAAAAATATTGTCTAAAGTTTTTATTATTGATGACTTCACGTATAACAAACAAGAGAGAATACAGAGAATGAAGAGAGTACTGCCTAATGGGGTAAAGATTTAAAATTACTAGATATAATTTAACAAATATATCTCTATCAAATATTTACCAAATATCTACCGTATATATCTCTATTATATCTTTACGAAATATGTTTCAAATATATCTCTACCAAGGCATCAGGCTCCATATCCCAACATGATTTTGAAAACGTTTCTGCTGGACATTGTTTCTAAAAATCTAAACCCGTAAAACAAAAACGTTATCGAACCGATCGATTAGACGATTGGCAGGACATGGAGCCGAGCCGAGGTTGATTAGGGTTTGGAAATGGTCCACATGGGTGTGTGTGGGGAAGGGACTGAGAGGTCATTTTCTAGGCTATGATCTCTACTCTCCAACCACAACGTGCTAACTAATTATGATTCTTTTACTTTGCTCTCTATTAAATGTCCATACTTTTAATTCTATACTCTATTCTTTAGGACCTACACTACTTTCTAAACTTAGGCCTTATACAAATAATGTATACTTTAAATTTCGGTTCTAATTAGCGTGTTGCCCGTTACATGCCAAACCCTTCGTGTTGTAATGAGCATGTTGCCCGTTATAGGTTTCTCTTCGTATTTTCTAGAAGTATGACGTTTCGGGAAATTCATGTATACGTCTGTTAGACTGAAAAATGCATCAAAATATACTACAAGGGGATGCGACTAGTCGTCAATTATTCATATCCAAATGCTATTTAAACCGTTTTTGTTGCCTTTCTTGCTTACTACATTATAACATTGCTTTCGAATTCTCTTTCGAAAATTTACGTCCTCGTTCTCTAAAACTTTCTTCTCAAAGTGGGGCCAGAAGCTTGGGTATACATCGTCCAGTTAGATGCATACAGCATGAATTTAAATTGGTTCGACTCGCTTGGTGGCGAGAGTGAGTGTCGCATAGTCGCTTGTAAATGTTTCGAGAAAGTGCAATTATGACTGGTGAAAATAATATAATTGAAAAATAAGGAATTAATATCTATATAAAATAGGAAAAAATCTAAATTTTCAATTTTTTTTTTTACTTATTTAAAAATAATCATACAATAATTTTTTTTTTTTTTTTACCGTTTAATAAAATTTTGATTTTTTAAAATTAGTTTTGAGTTAATTTCAAATGGAATTAAATAAAGCGATAACTGATTCGATTTTGTCAGTTTTGTGTCCAACCGAACCGGTGTCGATACATGACCAATTTGTTCGGTTCGGTTCTTATTGCGGTGTTTGCTACTGCTAGGGAGTCGGCGCGACGCGATGGCGCTGTTGTTGGAGAGGCGGCGTGATGCCACGACGCCGGTGCGAGGAGACAGCGCTCGACGGTGCTGCTGCAAGAAAACGACGGTCGAAAGTACTGCTGCGACTGCGACACACATGGCCCTTGACGGAGTGTGGGGTAACGAGAGAGATGTGCGACGGCGATAACCTGAGGAGCTGGTTCAGAGAGGAAGGAAGGAAGGGAGGCGGTTTAGAATGGAAGGCAAATGATTTCTAGCGCGTTTAAAGGAAGATATACCTTGGTTTGGTTTGGTTTGGCTTGGCTTGGCTTTCCATACACTAAACCAAACCAAAAATATTTGATAAATTATACAAACTATCATGAAGTTTGAGATAATCACACTTTTGACCCGTAATTTGTTAAGTATTGTAATTATACCCTTCAATTTTTAATTCGATCAATTACCTCCCTCGACTTTGTTAAGTGTTGCAATCAACCCTTTTATTGGGTATTATTAAATGACCCTTTAATTGAATTTCAAACCAATTAAAAAAAAAAAAAAATTTCTAGTTTAAATTGATACATTATTAATTTGAGATTGTATTAATACCAAGGTTCATATAAATTGATTTTGACCTTAAATATTTTATATGCTAAAAGATATATCGTCTTTGTAAGAGCCTAAGCCCATTAGTAGCCGATATGGTTCGTTTTGACTCATTACGTATAGCCATCAACCTCATAATTTTAAAATGTGTCTGTTAGGGATAGGTTTCTACATTCTTATAAAAATGTTTTGTTCCTCTTTTCTACTAATGTGAAATCTCATAGACTTGCTCGCTAATATAATGGTCTTTAAACAATTAATGATTATTATAAAATATTAAAGGGTAACGGCCCACATCCACCGCTAGTAGATATTGTTCTATTTTGGCTTTCCCTTTCGGACTTTCCCTCAAAGCTTTAAAATGCGTCTGGGGGAAGGTTTCCACACCTTGTGGTTTGTTCTCCTCCCCAACCAATGTGGGACATCACAATCCACCCCCCTTCGGGATCCAGCGTCCTCGTTGGCACTCTTTCCTTCCTCCAATTGATGTGAGACCGCCCCCAAATCCACCCCTTTAGGGCCTAACGTCCTTACTGGCACACCACCTCGTGTCTACCCCTTTTAGAGAATAGCAGCGAGAAGGCTGGCACATCGTCTAATGTCTGGCTCTGATACCATTTGTAATAGCTCAGATCCACCACTAGCAAATATTGTCCTCTTTGGACTTTTCCTATCGGACTTGCCCTCAACGCAACAGGGGAAGGTTCCCACGCCCGTATGGTTTGTTTTCGTCCCAACCAACGTGGGACATCAGATAAAAGTATTGAAAATAAAGTTTATTTGACGGTAAATAATTGGAGTTAAAAAGAAATTAGTTTAAGACAAAGAAAGACAGGCCATTTGGGATAATACAGATTTCCTTGGCAATTGGAGCTGTTTTCTTGTGCAGTCGCGAATGGTTTTGTTTAATAAAACGCTCGCAGAAGCGCTTTTCGTCAATTTCCTACCGCTTTCCCCTGACAGGTCGCGCCACATAACCCCACCTTCTCTCCATCACACCTTCCCAAACCAAAACCCTATTCTTTTCTTTCCCTCAGATTTGTTTCTCGGTCGGAGGTTATGGCTTCCGAGAGCGATTCCAGATCCAGTTCCGCGGCCGATTCGTATGTTGGAAGCTTGATTAGCTTGACTTCCAAGAGCGAGATTAGATACGAAGGCGTTCTTTACAACATCAACACCGAAGAGTCTAGTATCGGACTTAGAAATGGTAATTTCCTCCGCCCCAGTTTCTAATTTTTTATATTTTCTTTTTTTCTGTGTTGGCGAGGGTTTGATTTGTTTTTCTCCTGGATCCAATCCGTCGTTGTTAGTCGAGCGTGATGTTTTTTTTATTAGATCGGTGAAGTTCCTGACGAATCTTAGGTTTAGATTTTTCGTTTCTTAAGGGAAATTTTGACCTTTCTACTCCGCTGTAGGGAAGAATTACGAAGTTATATTAGATTTTCTTGTCTGGGTGTTGGTCTTGCATCATTTCCTAGCTAGGAGATTTAAATTTACCGAATTGATTCATACGGTGATACGAGTCTGAATCCTCAAACCACATCCCGGCTAATTATTGGCCTCCTGTGATTGCGAAACTGAATTGTGCGTAGAGTTTGTCGCTGGTTGTTTCACATTTACTTGCCCTTTCTTCCACGGGTTTTTTTACTGTTTAATGTTATTGATGATACCATTTTCTCTTGGTGGTCTGGGGAATATTGCAAAGAAGGTGTTCGTCTTGTAAACCAGGCTAAAATTATTATAGCTTGCAAAAAGAAGGGATTTTGAAATGGAAAAGAATTTCCTGGACTCCCAAATGGGCATGGAGGTTTTCAAATGGATTCCCTTTGGCATGCTATAACAACTATCTCGTTCAGAAGAGAAACAGGGGGTGGTTTACCTCGGCTTAACGAAACCTGAGCAAAGAAGTTTATGGAGTGTTTGGTATAATGTAAATAAAATTGGAGCCGTTCTTGTTTTGTGAGGTCTGCAGGGGTAGAAACGTTTGCTTTTGGAAATGGCACCTTCTCTTATTGATCTCTCTTGTTCTTAAAGGAGGCAATGCTACGGTTTGGGTCTGGAAAAGGCACTGTCTCTTGTCAATATCAGTTGTGGGCCGATGGCACTTTTGTATATACTTGTATGTAGAGCAGAAGCTCTACGGAACTTGGGGCATTTTCTTTGCTTTTCCAACAATACTTTGGTTGTAGAGAGCAGTTGTTACATGGACATCCTTGTAGGAAATCTGACCAAAGTGCTTAGGGAAAATGCTGTTTAGATATCTTTGGGAAAGTTGCCTTGAGTGGCATTGTAGAATTATCTTAAATGCTCCTTGTAGATCTTGACCATTGTCGGGGTGTTGTTCATGTTGATTGCTAGTTTTTACCTTTGTATTACGTAGCACTTATTGGGGGAAAAAATGAAAAGGAAAAGAATGGCTGTAGTTTGTAGAGGTGCATTAACAATTATTAGCATGCTGCTGCCTTTGTGTATCATAGTGAAGTGCTCCATGGTTAAGGGGGGTATTGTATTTAGATCAAACCTTGGCCAATCATTGTGAAGTGATGGGTTGGGTTTCAGGTAGGTTTCGTCATGAAATCTTTTCAAATACCGACTCCATTCCCTCATGTTTAAGAAGTCATCATTTCCCATTCCCTCATGTTTAAGAAGTCATCATTTCCCATTCCCTCATGTTTAAGAAGTCATCATTTCCATCCATGATGCGACAAGTGGCTGAAATTCTCATTAAAATATTATTCTTGATGTCATATTGATGCATATTAATCCATTTTCTCAAGGCGCCTGAAAAATTGACGTTTATGTGATATTTGAATATTTCTCTTTTTAGTACGGTCATTTGGAACGGAAGGGAGAAAGAAGGATGGGCCACAAGTCCCACCAAGTGACCAAGTTTTTGAATACATCTTGTTTCGTGGAAGTGATATCAAGGTAACTTTTATACAGACATTACTATTAACTATAACGTGGTAGTGGCAGAATGCTGAGTTTCATGATTCCTATGTGACATCAATGTATCTTTTGTGTGGATACTGATGAACCTCGTGATGTACTTGGCACATTATAACATAGCTTCTTTATATGATTTAAGCCGAGGCTGTCTTAGAAATTAGTTTTGACTTGTTGGCTCTTTTTGCAGGATCTACAGGTAAAATCTTCCCCGCCTGTTCAGACTACATCCTTGATAAACAATGATCCAGCTATTATTCAGGTAAAAGGAAATCCCCCCCCCCCCCCCCCCCCCCCCCCCCCCCCCCCCCCCCCCCCCCCCCCCCCCCCCCCCCCCCCCCCCCCCCCCCCCCCCCCCCCCCCCCCCCCCCCCCCCCCCCCCCCCCCCCCCCCCCCCCCC